CCGCCGAGGTGCCCAGGGCCCCGCCGCGGCCCCACGCCTTGGACACGCCATCAAGGCCCACGGTGGGGGGCCCCTCCCGGACCGTGTCGGCCACCGCCACCGCAGCCACCGCGGCCTCGGCCTGCAGGGAAGGAGGGCCGCGTGAGGGCGCGTGGGGGCGCATAAGGGGTGCATGGGGGCGCGAAGGCGCGAGGGGGGCGCGTGCGGGGTGGTGTGGCCACAGGGCCAGGTGAGGCTGGTCCTCCCCGGAGCAGAGGGGCCGGCTGGAGCCCCTACCGCGTTCCAGAAATGCAGTGACCGCTGCTGTCAGGAGAGCTGGACAGGGTCCCCGCGTCCCTCGCCCCACGCGCTGCCCTCTGGGAGCGCCCAGAACGTAATGAGAGGCCCACAGTGACCACGGTCACCGGGGCGCGCGCCAACAGGGCCGCGGACGTCTGACGTGCCGCTTGGCCTGTCCAGTTATGCACCACAGCAGACTCCGAGGCGGCAGGCGGCCTCGTAACGAGGCGTCAGCGGGCCCCGCGGCGGTGACGCCTGCCTGGCCTGGAGTGCCCGGCGTGCGCGGGGGAGGGGCCGCCTTGCCCACCGCGCAGGGCCGTGGACAGCAGCGTCGAGGCTGGTGTCCCCACACGGACAGGGCACAAGTCTCTGCTGACCCTGCCCAGCTCACAGCCAGCGTGGCTTCCAGACCCTCGGCGAGGAGGCCACAGACGGCCCCAGCGGTGGCTTGGAAGCCACGCACCCCCAGCCTCTCGCCAGGGCCGCAAGGGCAGGCGACGGGCCAGTGGGAGACGAGCCCAGCAGGCAGAGCCGGCACCCGCCGGACGCGGACCCCCACGCGTCCCTCAGAACCCGGCCCGGTCCTGCCCTCGGGCCACCAGGCCTCCGGCCTCTCTTCGCTTCCCCCGTCCGCCCAGTACTTTCGCCCGGAGTAGGGCTGCTCTCCTCCGGCCTCCGGGGCCCTGGTGGCACCTCCACACCAGCCTGGCCCCGACAGGGTCACAGCACGTGACCACAGGGGCAGCAGGCCCTGTGCGCAGCGCAAAGAACCCTCCAGAGGAGGCCAGGCCAGGCTGG